AAAAGCAAGGCAGCGATCGCCCTTCATTTTGCTTGGCCCAAAAGCCTGCTGAAGCACCACTATCCCACAGAGTTAGCTACTGTCTCATTAGTTATTAGGGGATGGAGAGGCACCTCGCAGAGGCAGAGCCTTTTTGCAGTTTTATTAAAGACCTTGGAAGGGAACAAAAAGGAAAATGTCAACTAAGAGGAGCAAGTCTGTTTCCAGGTCATGGGTGAGCCAGGAGGGCCCCCCACTTCCCTATCCCTGTGATCCTGGGTCCGAATTTGGGGAATCGCTAAGTGAGGAGAAAAGATTCTGAACTGATTCAATTCACCTCCCTGAATCTGTTAAAGGAAATTTCATCCTCATTTGTGGATTTATAGTGTTTCTATGATATATCTAATGCATATTTATTTGAAGGGGTGTGAACACCAAATCTCATTTAGTTATATATTTAATGAAAGAAAATAATTAAGATCCCAGGAAATTCTGCAAGTGTCTTTAAGACTTTAGGGAAGGAGAGATCACTTTGGACTCAAGGCTTCCTGGAGAAGCTGAGGGTGGAACTAGACCTTACAGGATGGGTGTGTTTATATAGGCAGAGTGAGAGGAAAGGGGGCATTTCAGAAGAATGAAAAAGTATAAGCATGTCCTAGTGGAAGAATTAATGGGGGGATGAGTCAAGTGATCCTCACATCACTTTGCCTCCAAGAAAAACCTGATGAGCATAGAGGTTAAAGAGTGGTTTTGAAGTCAGACACATGTTCATTCAGTCCCCAGCTCTGCCAATTATAAGACGCCTGGCCTTTGACCAGCTATTCAAACTGCTTAAGCCTCACTATCTCATTTCCAAATGTGTTAAATGAAGCACACTGCACAGGTTCTTTCTGAGAATTAACTATCACATAGTTCAGTTCTTGGTTCACTGATTTGAGGAAGTCATTATTATGTCTCAGATCATTCTGGAATATCCAGATCCTAATCTTAACATGCTCTATTTCACCTCAGTGATCAATAACTGAGAATTACAATTTCTTCTAATTCATGTGATCTAAGAAGCAGTAAGGCTATACCTCACCTTCTGTGCCAAAAACCGCTGGGGTGAAGGAAATGCGTTATCAGAGGTCTGGCTTCACACACAGCTATCTCAGACGGGTGACTTCCTTCTTCACAGCAACAACAATAACATTCCACCGGGCTTCTGGTCATTCTCAACAATCTGCATTTATCACTTGATATGTTTTTCTTAGCTCTTTGAGGAGACTGGCTGAAAACCCTGATCCCTGACCACTATGAAAAGTCAGAATATAACGAGTTGCTCCTGATTCCTCTCTGGGGCTCATTTTGTGAGGCTGGCCCACAGCAGTTTTTTTTTTTTTCAAGTCTTTGTTTCACTCTGTATTTTCTGGCTGCCCTGTGGCCCCTTCTTATCATTTACAACAGAGTCAGAAGATGTGGGCCCTATTCCAACTCTGCTACTTCTTAGCAAGGCAATCTTTGGCAGGCCATTTAAGTTTCTAGGCCTCAGTTGATTCATCTGTCCAATAGAGATCAATTGAAAGATGTATAGGAAAGTGCCTCGGAAGTCCTCTAAATGAACAACACATATTAAGGTGGGAGAGTAAAATCAAGCAGGTGCACTGTGCCCCTTTCTTCTTAACCCAAACATCAGATGAGTCCCAGATTCTGCAAATAAAAACCCCTCCTGTGAAGTTCATTCTGAATGTAAACTTATGACCTTTATATCTATTTTGGGCAAGGAAATGAGTTTCCTAGAATCCATCCTTCCTGTAAGTTTGAGAAAGGCCTCACAGAGGAACTGACCAAAGAGATGAGATAGATGGTATCCTTTGCTCCCTGGAATTACAGTCCACTTGATAGGATCCCAACCCAGTTTGATGCAGCCCTTTTAATACAATGGCAGATACCAGGGGTGCCAAAAAAAATGTATACAAGTGGACACTTTGGTCAATGTTGCTCAAGCAGTAGCTGACAGTAATCAGAAGTGTCTAGATGCTGATGGTTACCACTCTGAGCACCTCTTGTAATTGCAGAAGTCAAATGTGACTTGTATTCATCTTTTGTTACCAGTATATATCGAGTATTAAGATTTTAATACAGTTTTCCTTTTTTAAAATGTGTATACATTTTTTGGCACCCTCTGTATTTCATGTAAACGCCTGCCTGTACACCCCGTCGCCAAACCCTCACAAACACAGACCAGTCTTCTGCCTCAGTGGGCTTGCCCTGGTGTTCCTGCCTTCTGGGTGGAATCATTCTGAGGCCTTCAGGTCACATGGCCTCGTGGTGTTCTGTTTAGGTTAGACAGGTGCAGGCCGTTATCGTTATAAACCATCTGCTCATTAACTAAACTGTATAGAGTTGAGAGCTTTATGGTATCACCAAAGGAAGGCTGTAATGGATAATGCTGCATTGTTCAGGGGCTCCTCCCTGCACTGAACCTTGCTCCTGAATGCCTATCTGACTGGTTAATTCAAATCACCAAGCTCCTCACCAGCTCCTGGCAGAGGAATGCTGTGGATGTACACTCAGCTTTCTTGTGGGAAGCTACCAAGGTTTGGTATTGTACTCTATGCAAAGAGGGGTTAGCAAACTGAAGTAGCTTTTCAGGAGACATTTGAACTTTAGGAACTGTCCCAGTGTTGGGGAAATGTGGCCTTTTCCAAATGTTATTGCCCAGCTGTTTGTGGTCCATTATCTACTGATGACGGTAGCCAATGAGAAAGTGGCTAAGATTGCAACCATGTCTCAGCTGTCTACAGCTCATAGTCCCTTGGCAAAGGGTCACTCACTAAGGGCAGTACAAGGAGAGAAGTTTCCCTTGGCCGTGGAACACCACATGCTCAGGTGTGGTTGATGGCTTTTTACCCCATGGAGGAACTTCTGTGGGACATCCTAGAAAGAGACTTAGAAGTAACCCAGGGTCTTGTCTGCAAATCCTGCTGACCACCAACATTGCTGGAGAGCATGTTAATAATTACAGATATCTGGGCTCTGACCCTTGAGCCCCGGCGGGCATGCAGAAATAGAACTTATATTTTAAATACAGTAATACCTTGGTTTGTGAACATAATTTGTTCCAGAAACAAACTACTCTTATTGCAAGACATCGCTTGTTTACCAAGTTAAATACATTTGTATAATGTATAAAATGTATTAGAAATGTTTGCTTGTCTTGAGGAACACTCGCAAACCAAGTTACTCGCAAACCAAGGTTTTACGGTAATTTCTGCAGGTGATTCCAAAGGTCAGTCAGATTTGGAAACAACTTACTTGGTCCAACAGACCTCATTTCATGAAGTATTCAAAAGGAAGTGCTTTCGCTGAGGCCTGCAAGCCAGAGCATGACAGTCAGGAGTAGAGTTCAGGTTTGTTGATTCCTAGATCAGTGCACTGTGTATTGTGTGGCTTCTCTCATAAAACACCAGCTTTGTTTGGGGACAGATGTGTAAAATACACCTGTAAAAAAGCACAATAAACAATGGCCTAATCCTTTGAAGGTCAAAGTCATTGGAATCAAGCACCGGCCATGAGCTTACTGTAATTAATCAAATGCCTTGTTTAAGAATCCAGTTTTACCACGTCTTGTGTGACCTTGGTTAAGTCACTTACTGTTAGCTTCATCATCTATAAAAGATGAATGATAAAATTAATAATGTCTACCTAATAGAATTGCTGCAAGGGAATCGATGATAGAATGTTTAAGAAGTGCTTGATGTAGCGCTTGGCATGGGGCAAGTGCTCAGTAACTGTTAGGTATTATTTGTTGAGCATTTACTATGTGCTACACACTATACTAAGAGCTTTATGGATGCCATCTCTAATGTTCACAACACTTCTGTGAAGCAGGAATTTTTATTTTTATTTTTTTTTAATCCAAAATGCGTTTCTTGGGATGGGTCCTCACTCATCTTGACTCAGGGGGCTTTTAGTGCTGCTTCCTCCTGAAGGAGCATCCTTTTGTAAGCCTTGCTTTTCCTCCTGTGGGCTGACAGAGGACCGTGAAGCAGCCAACACACAAAACTACCATTTGTGCATGGCTAAAGACGGTGATGATTTTATAACATCTTGGGCATATCACATCCTTGAAATAGGAACTGGGGCTCTATGCCAGCCACTTCTGTGCTTCCTCTTCTCCTCTTCTGGAGAGAGATGCAGGAGCTCCTTAGCAAGAGCTATGTTCTTGTTGGGAGGGCATCACCACCTCAAAGGAAAGCAGGGATTCTTGATTAAACCTTCCTCATGAGGAGAGGAGGGAGGACTGGCTGAGCTTATACCTTCTGCTGTAGTAGTCATTTGAAATTAGGCATTTTGTAACCTCTGTCCACATAGGTGATACGTAGATATATGTCATGGTGAAAATACCCTCCTGGTGGTAAAGATTGTGAAGCTTTTGTAAATCTTATTAGTGCTCCTTGAGAGTGAAGTGGTCTCTTGTTCATCTTGGTGTCTTCTATTCATTTTGGTGTTCCCTGACCTAGTCTAGACCCTTTCTTGGCCCATAATGCTCAGTAAATGTTTGTCAAATAGAAAAAAATAAATATCATCCCTTCAAGTTGATCATAAGCCTCCTCCCAAGGAACACTTCCTTCCTGGATCACTTATCCTGAATTTCTTAATTCTTAATGCCTTATCTTGGCATTCTAACCTCTTCACAATGGAGTTTCAATACACCTTCCTTCCCCTCATGTGTGCAGTGAATGGTTTATTGAAGGACTATTTATACTAGTGGAGAATTGAAAACAACCTTAATGTCCAGCTGCAGGAGAATGATTGAATAATTTATGATGCACTCACATATTGCTAATAGCTATCACTTGCTCGGTGCTGACCATGGCATACATTGTTTTAAGTACTTTTAATGTAATTAACTCATTTAATTTTTAGAACCACTTTGTAAGGTAGATATTACTATCCTCATTTTACAGATAAGAAAACAGAGCCGGAGAGATTAATTTGTTCAAAGTCACATAGCTAGGAGGTAGCAGAGTCAGGATTTAAACTAAGGCAGCTTAACTTCAGAGTCAGTTCTCTTAGCCACCAAACTAAACCGTCTCTTGGATTGTGGACAAATGATGCAATAAACCACTAATAACTTGCCTAAAAATGTTTGCCTTGCATCTAATAAGGGCTAAAATGAATGAATAATTTGTTAAATGTATATAGGAAATACTTACAATATACACTAAATGGGGGAGAAAAGCAGGATAACACATACATTATTATTTCAACTATGGAAAATTCTAGAAAAATACAGGGAATTGATATCAGGCCAAATGAAATGGCTTCTCACCATTAAAACTCGAAGTCTCCTTTTCCCTAGTGTTTTAGCTCCATAGCCCCTGGTTATAATCATTTTTCAAATCAGTTTCTTAATCATACACAATAGATTGTTTTTAATCTGAATGATAGAAATCTCCTATCCCTGTTTTAAATAATTACTCTAAAGCTTCTGATTTATGCTTGTTGACTATAGTCATTGTAGCACAGCGTTCTTTCCAGGCCCAGCTCCTGGGTGAACAATAACTGAATGACTGGTTAAACCAGAAGAAAGGCCAGGCTCCATGAGGCTGAACAATTTTTTTCATCACACAATTGCCCTGTGTCAATGGTTTTGAGTCCTGCTTCTTGGGACAACACTTTTAACTCTATTAATTGAAATCTATCTCTCCTCAGCTATGGGTCATGGGGATAAAAGTGATGCCCCACCAAGACTTCCAGTACATCCTGACCACAGAGGTCGACTTGGTCCTCCAGGTGGATCTCAAGACCCCTTCCCCTCATCTAAGATCAGATAGGGTGAAAGTCCCATGAATCCCCAATAGGTAGGGACAACAGCCAGACTGAGCAGGAAGCAGATACAGAAAAGATCTCCTGTCCCTCAACTTCCCATAGAGATTTATGGGGATCATGTCTCTCAAGAGGGACATAAGGCAGGCAGTTAGAGGCAGGAATTGGGTCTCTGAGATGCCTGGGTATATCAGGTAACATTCCTGTACGTCCAACATAGTCTATGGGAAATAACTGCCCCGAAGACCTCCCTTCCCTGCCCAAACTTGCCCTTGTTTACCATAACCATTAGCCATTGTCAATCACAGATATCAATCAAGCAGCCCACAATTAGGAAGGAGTAGCCCATTGTAGAAAGAAAAGCGACAAAAACCACCATGGCCTCATTACTCAGGGGCCCTTGAGCCAATCCTTTCTGCTCAGGCCCGCTCCCCCTCTTTGGAGTGCACTTTCGCTTCTAATAAACTGCTTTCACAACTGTATTACTGTGTCTTGCTCATTTCTTTGCTTGAGATGCCAAGAACCTGGACACCGCGCCGAGAAGGGCCTGCTCTCCGGTAACAGAATGACTAGAAGAAAATAGGCAAAAAGGTTAATTCTGCTTGTGGCTGTGAACAAAAAAGGGGCCACATATTAAACCTGACAAGCTCAAGGTGAAGCCTGAATGGTGGACTTTATAAACTCAGACAGAAAGTAAGCACATAGGATAGTCTGAACATAAAAATTCCTAACTAAAAGCAGTCATGGTGGGGCCTGTAGCTTCCTTGACAAAGGTCAATCTTTACCTTACATGAGCTTGTCTATTGTTTCTTTGTATCTAAGATAACATACCTTTGAAACATCAGAGTAATCTCCTTCAGACCCCTCAGAGCACAACCTCCCACCAGAGCTCAAGACCACAGAACCCCTCATTGTTATCTTGTTGCCCGCATACCATCTCTATGTGCTGTAAATGTCAACTATCCTGTACTCACCAATGTAAAAGAAGTATGTGTATTTCTGTTTTACTTTTTATCTAATCTCAGAGATTCCCCCACCCCTGCCCCCGCTTTCTCCTGCCTCCCTAATCTATCACCAATGAATTTCATGCAATGCTCCTTACATCCCCTTCTTTGATTCTAACGTATAAAATAAGCTGTAAAGCTACCATTCTCCAGAGCATTTTCTCAATCCCTTGAGATTTTGCTTCCCAGCAATTGTCATCAGTTTGGCTAAAACAAACTCTTATAAGACTTTTTCTTAGGCTGGATGTTCTTTCATCAACATGACTGGTGGATGCCAATTTTTCCACCTTGCATCTTTATACTTGTCTGACTTTTCTAAATTTCCTAAGGCAAACTTCATCTGTAAAATAGGGGGAAAAAACTATTAAAAATAGATTTTTAAAAACATGAGACTGTATAAAAGCAGGTTTGAGACAAATCACCAACGGGCATCAAATGCTGATTTTTTTTGTCCCCAAAACATTTGTTAATTTCAAGGACATTTCATTGACTAATACACTCTTTTGCACAAAGCCTGACCATTAATTGCAGGCTATTTGGATGGTCATTCTCAGGTCATAAATACACAGGAGGCAGCTTCCACTTTGGTTCTGATAGGCGTCCCTTAAGAGAAGCCAATTTCCTGGATCTTTTTGAGGGAATTTATTATAAGCATCTTTGATTCCTTAGAGTCCTCTTGCCCCTGTATTTCCTGTCATTCTTGGTACATCTGGTCTCCTGGGCATAGCTTATGAGTTCTGTCCCCAGGCAGCAGGGCCGCAGTTTTGGCAGCAGCAGCCTGTGAACTGTCACTGACAGTTTGATGGGCTTGTCCAGCCTTTTGCAGCCCTGGGACCAGATGTGGTATGAAGCAAAGAGGCTTTGGTTTCAAGACACAGTTCAGCTCTCACTAATAGATTTTAAGGAACTCACTTTACTTCTGTGCCTCAGGGTTCTTATCTGTAAATGGGGATGATAAAGAGCCTTACTTACCTCATGGGTTATTGTGAGTCTGAAGAGGGCTCAAGTGGGTTAATGTATACGCAAGTCATTTGTAAATGTAAAGATCTCGTATACTTATCTGAATTGTCTTTATGTAGAATGTATGTCTGTATGTCTGTATGTCTGTATGCATGTATGTATCTATTTGTAGCTTCCCACTTTCTCACACCCTTCGGAGTCGCTGAGAGGGGTTAATTAAAATCAATTGAAATTAAAATTAATTCACATTAAAATGAAAGAGACATCCTGAGGGAAGAACCTTGATGAGGAGGGAGCTGGAGGAGTATTGTGGGAAAGTGAAGGTTGTTGATGTGCAAGGTGTAGAAATGTGAGAGGGAGACTGTCATGAGTAGAACTTTGCAGAAAGGGATGCTGCAAGCAGATACCTAGGAAGTCTTACCTCATGATATTTGGGGTAACACCATTTTGTCTCTGTAAGAAACCTTCAGTAAAAACTTCTCTCCCTTTTTATGGGTTAGGTTCGCAGTCTTCCCCTGGCCCCCATACATTAATCTCATGCCAAGATTGGCTTTAAAGGAAGAGCTCAAGGTAACTCAGGTGCACTAGGGTTCTAGAACGGTACCTCCTCCCGCAGGTGACGCTTGAGTTAGGACATGCACATAGACTGTGTTGCACCCAGTAGATGTTCACCACATGGTGATTACTATTTTTGTGAATCAGGAAATATTTTGCTAAAACATACGTGATTTGATAATGGAGACTTAGTTTTTCCTTGTCTCTACTAGGACAGGGCTGGATACTGAAGTTGACTGGGTGAAGTACAGTGCAACCTATTCTACTGTGACCACAGAATAGGTCTATTTCTCTGACCAATCCTCATCGCACTATGCTCATACCCTAGTGAGGTCTTGGAGTCACCATGACAGTGCTTGCTGTACTAGGGGCAATGGGACCACCATTTTCCTTGTCTGAGGCTGTGGTCCTCCTATAAGGCCTGTCTTTTAAGCCTCTGCTCTCTAGTCTAGCATCCTCTCCTGCTCCCACTCCAAGCTCCCCTGGCTCATCTGTGCAGGGACAGCAGGAGCAGTCCCTGGATGTCTAAATTAGAGATGCTGTTACTCTGTTTCTATTTTCTGACTTAGGTTCTATAGATTTGGCTGGGTGTATAGGTATCTTTATCCTTGAAGCTGGCAGCACCGAGACCATGGCAGGGGGTGTTCCTTTAACCACAGAGCAGTTCCTTTAACCCTGAGTCTACCCTCATATTAGACAATAGGTGCTGAAAGGGTGTGGCGAAGGAGACCTGGGAGGTTCATCTAATGGTCTTGATGAACTCCGTTAGAGGGCTGAGGAAGAAGGGTTTGAGAAGACACTTTCAACTGCTTGGCCTTCCTTTATTTCTCACAAGACTTTAATAATAGCTCCTCCAATTCAAGAGTGCTATGAAAATATTGTCTGCAAGTGGGTGGTTTTAATGAACATTACAAAGCAGGGCATTATTTATGCTAGCCAGCAAACTGCCTCAAATGATGACTGAGAAAGGCATCATGTAAAGTACAATTCATGGACAAAGATGAGGTTGTGAGGGGCTGAGGGCTGAGAGTGTGTCCAGAGGGAAAGTAGGTATCTGTACTTCTTAAGGAAAACAAGCTGTCAAGGCAGGGGGCCCAGAGACAATGAGTGTGGAAGCCTCAAAAATAGGCTGGGAGGACAGCACCATCTCCCAAGTAATGGTCAGCCTCCTGCCTCTCACTTCCGGTCAGATGGCCCCAATTGACCAGACAGCAGCCTTGATGGAGTAGCCCCCAAAAGGAGTAGCTCCACAGGGGCTCCCATCTTGAAAATTGCTAAGCACACCCCTACCTGTCTGCTTTTCTGCCTCAAAGCCGTAGGCACTTTTGGGGCTTACCTTATCATCTGTGGTCATTTAAATCCCGAAGGCCCAGAATCCAGAGTGAGACTTTTCTTTTGTTTTCTCCATAATCTGGTTGGCATTCTGGTAGAGACAACTGTGAAGTGGGGACTGGACAGCTTTCTGAAAAAGACTCTCCTCTGTTTCTTGTTCTTGGTTCCTAAGTAGTGTTGACACAAAAGTTATGCAGAGGAAGGAAATGATTAAGGATTTCATTGAATGTGGAAGAAAGTCCAAATTCTAGCTCTTCTGTTTCCTAGGTGACTTCAGTTTCCTCAACCGTACAACGGGGCTAAGGCTACTACCTATCTTATGATGAGGTGAGGCAATATAATAAGCAAAGTGTTTTTGCTCCCCAAATAGTGGCTATTATTTGGATGTCTTTTTTAAATTCCATCATTGCCACAGCTCCTATTATATCCCCATCTATGGCAGCTTCCAAGCTGGTCTCTGCACTCCATGCTTGCAGTCTCTGTTCCTGCTAACCATTTTTCAGTACGCTGTCAGGGAAATTAGTGTAACACACAAAGATGCATGTCATGCCCTTGCATAAAGTCTTTTAATAGCTTCCAGTTTTCTCTGGACAATGTCTAAAATCTCCCAGAGTAGTCTTATGTGTTTGTCTGCTTCCATTCAATCATGCATACATTTTACAGTTATGGGCACCTTCTGTATGCCAGATCCTTAGCTAAGTGCTTCATGGAGATCATGTCACATAATTCTGAAATCAATACTGTCATTAATGTTGACAGGGGATTGTGATGGTGGCACTAAATCTTTTATTTTTTAGATTTGGATCTCTGGTATAATTCAAATTAATAAGTGTAATTTAGCTTGGGACTTTTTGAAAGCTTTCTGTTCTTTGCCTCTTGATTTTCTTCCTATACATTTACTATACAGTTTCAATGTTTCTATTTACTTAGGCCCAGTGCAGGCCCTGTGACTTGGGAGAGGTTTTGCATCTGTATGGGATCCACTCTTAGCTCCAACTTAAATCTACATAACATATGCAAAGGTTGCAATAATCAGCATAACTGCCTGCACCTTCCCACACCCCCAACTACAGGCCAAAACAATTTACATCCTGGTTAGAAAAGACAAAACTTGACACCAAAGAAAGACTCGACGCAGTAGTTTGCAGTAGTTTCCAGCAGACTCTGCCCAGCCGACCCTTCTCTTACTTTAATAAATCTCCCTTTTTTTCTATATTTCAACCTGACTCGTGAATTCTTTCATTGCCTGCGAGCGAGCAGACACAACAGTTAACATCTCCATGTTACAGAAGAAGTAAAGGAGGCTCAGAGAGGCTAAGGAACTCACACCAACACACAGCTAGTTGCTCAGAGATTTGAATTCACTCTGCTTGGCAGCCTGTCCAACTGGAGCTCTTTGTACAGATCAATAATGCGTCCCCAGCAGCTGGGAAGGGCCAGCAGCAACAATAGCAGGGGGCCAGGATCTGGGGAGGGAGGCAGCAGTGTTTCCAAGAAGGGTATTGGGGGTGAGATGGGGATTTCATCTCCCCTTTCCCAGGTTGGTGGTGGGGAATGGCCACTTCAATTTGGGCTTCAAGCACTCACAGTGTACATACACCCCACCTCGTGTACCCAGAGGAGCCACACTACCTTCCACTCTCCTGTCAGTCCTTCCCTGCCACAGCCCTTTCCCTCCAAGCACAGAACCAGCGGCCAAGAGGGCACTCTAGAGACATTTGCAAGATGATTTCCTCGGGGAGTCACATCCTCTCTGCCCCAGCGGTGGCCCAAGGCCGCTCCTGGCCCTTTTCTAAAGCGGTTTTCTGTCTTAGGAAGCAATCCTGGCACACCAGGGATGGCCATTATGCAGAGGTGGTGCTTACTCTACAAGCCATTTCCTCTCGCCTTCCTTTAACAGTGAAAGGAAGGAACCTGCTCCCTTCCGGACCCCCTACCTGAGGCCACCGGCCTGCCAGGCTGCTAAAGCTTAGAGTGGAAGTCTCCGTGTGCAGGGATTCACCCACACTCCTTCACTTCTGTATCTGCTGCCTTTGAGAACACCTAGTACGCGCCGCGCCGGATGTTGGGAGACTCTTGCCTAACCCTGTGAAACAGATTTTGTTGATTCATATTCTACATAAGAAGAATTCGAGGCTCAGAGAGGTTAAGTGACTTGCTCAGGGTCACGCAGTCAGTAGGTAGCCAAGCCAGGATTATATCCATAGTTCCCGCTTGTTAGGATGAAAAGCTGGAGGTCAACTCTCGGGACCTGTGGGTGAAGGTACAACCATCATTTGGGGATCCTTGCCCCGCCAGGTTGCCCCTCCCCTTGTTCCGGTCTGCCATCCTCCGGGGAGGCAGGGTCCCAGCATCATGCGGTACCTTAACCAGGTACCCCCCAATCCCGAGGCCCGGTCTCTAGCGACCTCCCGAGGGCCAGGAGGGTTTGGGGCTCGGTTTGGCGGGGGGACCCACCCAGTCTTCCCGACTATTTGCTTAACGGAGACCGCTTGCTTCTCCCGCCCCTCCAACGCGCCCCTTTCCCCTCCTTCCCTTGTCCCCTCACCCCTGACCCCCAGCTCCTCCCCAGCAGACTCTCCTTCTCGGACTCTTGTGTGGGTTTTCCAGCATCCGGGGCTCCCTTGCTTCGACCCTGCAAGGAGTCGGGAAGCACCTGGGGGACGGGTGTCCTGGGCTGGGCAGGCTGGGGAAGACGCCTGGGGGCACTGCCCGGCGCAAACAAAGGAAACCAGCTGCCGGCAGGCTGGGGCGCTGAGCAGTCAGAGCAGCAGTAGCCGAGAGAGCAGCAAGTGAGTAGGGTGCGGTGGGCGGCGGTGCAGCCAGGGTTCCCAGGGAGGAGTGATGCGATGGGGCTTGGGAGGGAAGGGGAGCGGCGGGCCCCGAGGGCACCAGGAATCGGTGTCCAGCGCCACCTCAGCCGCCTTCGCGGCACCGGCTGGGCACCTTGTGGCTGGGGGGGTATCTGTATTTTTGTCCTGGTCGAGGAGCCGCCCTGGTTTCTCCCCAGCTCCGGGAGCCTGCGGACCCACAACAAACCCACGTGCGCTCGACCACCAGGAACCTGGCTTTGCTTTCTCTACTGCAAGGTCTGTAAGGAAGCGGGTGGGGATGCCCCGCAGAGTCCGGGTTCTTTCAGATCCCGCCTTCTGGGTTTACTGACCAAAAAAACTGAGACCCGTGGCGGGGGTGGGGACCCAGGCACCATAACAAACGCACGTGCGCCCAGCCCTAGGATCCCCCGCGCACAGCTAGCCCTTAGGAGCCGCCCTGCGGAACCGGCCATTGTCTCAGATGCGGGGGAGGGGGCGGCGCTTGGCGCTCCTCTTGCGGGAGGTGGACTACCGAGACATTTAAAAGGTACCACCACTTAAGCATCAGACCAAACTACCGGGTTTAAAAAGGGGTAAACGAAACAAGAAAGCAACTATGAAAAGATCACTGCAGGCCGCGTCTGTCCCCGGCCGTGGTATATTATTTGATGTGATGAGGACAATTCCTCACTTACACTTCACGGAGGTTTCTTAGAGATGGGGTTTGAATTAAGGGTCTATGGGTCCTCCAAGAAAAGACCGTGCCCAGCACACCATTGTCCCTGCGCTCCTGCGACTGCCCGGGTTAGGAGATCGCGAGCGCCTCCGCAGCCTGCAGAAAGAACGGTCCAATTTAAACAGCGCCTGGCGCAGCCTTGGGTTTCCTTTGCACTTTGCATTGTAGGTCCTTGCGTCTAGCCATCCCTGGTGTTATTGGCCCCTTTTTGCTTGTTAGGCATTTTTTACAAGGCCTGCCGAGGCCTCCTGTTCTGGGTGGGGGCGCTTTTATTTCCAGTTCTGTCAGAGTTTGAGAGAAATTCGGAGGTCCAGAAAGAGAAGTCTCTGGTTTGTTTTGCTTTTTTCTTTGCTTACATATGCTCAGCTCAGCTTTGCAGATTTTGGTTAATCAGATCTGTTCAAACAGTAGTGAGATGGTTGGGAGGATGACTTGGCCTTTTTAGGTGATGGTGTTGGTGCAGGAGTAAGTCCCCACGATTGTGGGAGTAGGTGGTCTGCACAGAAACAGAGGCACCGCTGCCTGAGTGTGCTTGCTGTGCAATCCTTGGCTGGTACCACTGGATGTTAACCTGTCCCCCGGGAGAACTCGGGGGCCTCCAGCCCCACACCACTGTTATTGAGAGTCTGGAGAGCATCTATTGAATCCTCTTATAGGCGGGAGACAGAGACCTGGAGGGTTCAGCCACTTGTCCAAGTTTAAAACGAGCGAAATAGCGACAGAGGGACGACTTGAGCCTGGGTCTCCCTACTCCCACACTGCACACACTGCCATGCGGGCAACTAAAGGCAAAACCAGGATTCTGCGGTTGGCTTAAAAGGCATTAGCCTTAGGCAGAATAGAGTTAAACAAAGAAAGTAATTCAGATTGAAAGCTGCACCCTTCCATTATCCCTGTCAAGAGTTCTTTATTCATTTGAGAAAAAGATTTAGTAATTCTTTACTCTCCTTCGAGCCTTTCATAAGCTTAGCTATTTTTCCCTCCTGGTTGCCCCCTTCCTCTCAAATTGAAATAGGGCCAGCTATGGAGTCTTGATGTTTTGCCTCTCATCCCTGTGCCAGGAGGCCTTTGTTTGGGCATCAGCATGGGCTGTTGACATCAGCCCGCTGGGAAGAAAGTGTCTCTTAGCAGGCTACTCCTGAGCCACTTGTACAACAAAGCAGTGTTTCCATTGCCTTTAATTAATTTTTTTTTAATGAGAGTTCCAGGGAAGCAGCTTATTTTTGTATTTGGCAGAGGAAAAATTGGAAAACCAAGGAAAAACAAAACAAAACACTTGGAATCTGTTTTGCCCTGTTCCTATCTCCTGGCTACACTTGTTTCTTTTCTCAGGGTTTCCAGGGTGTTTCATTTTTGTGGTGCTTCCACTTGGCACTTGATACAGCTTTCTCATCAGGATGCTAGCCATGTAAGGAATTTCAGAAATCATCTGGTCAGACTGTTTTATTTTCCAGACAGGAAAACTGAGGCTCAGACAGGTGAAATTACTTGCCTAAGGACACTCAGCAACAGATCTGCTTTTAGTGCCTCTTTTTGCATAAAAGGGAAACTGTTGCGTCAAATAAGTTTTTTTCTTGGTACCACACAGTAAAGTCAAAGTTATGATGATTGTTATAACAATACCCTTTAAATCATAGAATGAATTCCTTAAGGATTCAGATAGGTTTGGGTTATTAAACAAAGCCACAGATCCCACTGGTAGATCTGGCGAGGAGTATTATTATAGCTATCATTGGGGATCAGTTTTCTTTAGTGCTTACTAGATGATTCACTTTCCTCTTGCCCTGGGCTCCCAGTAGGGAGCTGCTTTGAGTATAATCATAAAGCAAAAGGCAGCAATAAGTCAGAAGAAAGAGACCCTGCTTAGCTTTTTGTGCTACTTAACTCTTGGACTCCAGTTTCCTTTTTTGTGCAGTGGGCATCCCTCCTGCTCAATATCTGCACAAGCTGTTGTAGTTGGAGTGGAAGATGCTCAAGCCTTAGAATCAGAGGAGCGGGGGTGGGGTGGGTGGGGTGGGTTTGGGTCATCTCTCCTCTCTCCTGTGTTTCTTGAGAGCCAACTGGCTGCATCCACATTGTATAGTGTGAGAGGAAGAACATGTATGTATCTCCTGGAGTTGTGGGTATTAAGTCATGTGATCCATGCTTACGCATGTTCCCACCTCTTGGCAGGCTTGACCTCTGATGGTGGGAGAATAACCCCAGGGGATAAGCCCTGTGCTCAAGGAGACCCTACTTAGTCACAAAGAGGTGTGAATGTTTGCCAAACTGTAAAGGGGGCCTTTGGGTGGTTGTGAAGTGTGTGTGACTCTAAGATAAATAAATTTAGTAAAAACCAAATCAAAAACAAAACCAGAACTTTCAGGCCCAAGTGAGTGGAACCTAAAGTCATTCCATTCATGCATTCCATATTTACTGACAAGCAGGCAGGTTGGGGATGGTCGTGGGTGTGGGTGTGTCCTGTGCTAAACCTGGAGTTACAAAGAACACAACCGCCCCTTGTTCAGAGCACATTTGGATTTCCCCTTAGAAATTACCCTCAGAAGCCAGCCCACAGGAAATAGATCTGATTTATCTCAATATTGACCTTTGGGCGGGGGTGTGGGGATGGGGGGGTGGAGGGGGTGTCGGAGGTCCCCTTTTCTTCATGAGTCAAACAAGAGCAGGTGGTAAATGAGAGTAGAAGAGGGAAAGCTTCAAAGAGAGTGTGCCTCTCTACACATGTGAGGATGTGGCAGCGTTAAAAATGACAGGAATAGTTCATTAGTGAAGCTCACAGTAATCTTCTGGAACATTGGAGTCCTGAAAATGTGCTCAGACCTGGCGTCAGAGATTTGTTCAATAAGAACCGAAATGGGGAAAAAGACATTTTTTTTTCCTGTTTGCATGTATTCTGCATGTATTCTGATTCTGACAGATGTACTTTTCATGGGCTTATACGTAACAGTAACATAATAAGTGATGCAGTTTCACATTAAAATACTGTGGTGATTTTCTAAGTCATTACTAGAAAGGTCAGGTTAGCCTTCAGAATCAATTTGGTGATTTATTGATTTTATTTATCATTCTGATTATTACTCTGGTTATAAGAATGAAGCAATGCCCATTGAGGACAGTTTGAAAAGTACATGAACGTATAGAGAAACAGAAAAAAATTCCATTACTCAAAGGCAATCACTGTTAATATTTGGCACTTTTTCCTTCTGTTCTTTTTTTTTTTTTTGGATTTGTTTTCTCTAAATGATTGAGAACACACTGTATGTGCAGGTATCTCTTGCCTTTCTTGCTTAACCTTCTCGTTTATACATGCCAGAGTTTATATCCACATTAAAGTTGTGTCTTTTCATTCATCATTCATATCAGCTGTGTAGCATCTCCAAGGTCACTTAGTCCCACAGGATCTGATGACTTCTATGAGGACCTTTAGAGGAAAGAGCCTCCCTCCAGCTTCCTCCCCATTTCCCACTCCTGCCTCAAGTGTTCAAATACCAGCCATTTTTATTTTATTTTAGAAGAAGTCTGAAGTCTAAGGTGGAGAGGAAGGGCCCTGCGTGTGGACTTGGGTTCTAGTCCTTTCCTTGTGTTGCAATCTCCAGCAACGTACTTTAACACCCCAGTTTTCAGTTTACCTATGTGTTCAATAAGCAACTCCAGGGTTGTTATTAATCCCTTTTAAGAAGCTCATAGTATAATAGAGGACTCAGGGTAACAAGGAACTAGTGCAGGATGCTGTAGACCAAGACGAGGGAAGCCACCCAAGGCTGGAGCAGTGCGGGAGGCTTCCTGGAGGAGGGCCATTGCTGGATAGTCAATTCTTATTTTTTCCCAATTTTTATCGACACTGAGATGAACATGTTTGTGAATAAATCTCTGTCCATATTGCAAATAACCTCCATAGAATAGAATTCTAAAGTTGGAATTACGGAGGCACTTTTAAAGGGTATGGTCATTAAAAAAAAACCCCAGAAAAACAAAACTTAATAGGTTTAGCCCCAATTACATATAAATTCTTGAAGTGCCTAAGTATACCGTCTTGTGGGAACAGTAGAAGTTAAGATTATACGTAACTCAGGATTTGAATTATTGCTCACCATTTATCGGTGTAGACTTGGACCAAGGTACTTAAGCTCACTACCTTACCTCATCGGGCCATTGGATTAACTAAAATCACAGTAAAGGGTCCAGTCTAGTGCCAGGTATACAGAAAGCACTCGGTAAGTGTTAGCTATTATTGTTATAATTG